AAAATTGTCAGATCCTTGAGTCACGAAACCAATTAATGGAGCTGGTGCATCAATGACTATCGTATTTATAAAAATTTTGGCAAATTCTCAGTCATCAACGGGTTTGATTAGCCTTTAGTCAGGCTAGCATGCAGATTGTTCAAATCCGTTCCGCATATAACGTTGTGCTAAAAGAGTTAACTCTTTTAGTGCTACGATATTAAATACGTAGACTTCATCTTTCTCATGGGAATAGACTACCCGGCAACGCGTGTTAAGCGTTAGCTTATCCCTACTTAGGCTTCGGGATAAAAGTTCCCAGATTTAGATTCTGGTATCTTCTTCAATCGGTGAAAGACTAAATAGGCAACGCGTGTTAGGCGCTGACTTATCCCTACTTAGGATTCAGGATAAAATTCCCCGCACGTGTAAGACGCAGATTTTGGGAGTTGAAAAATAATGTATTCTCTTGGGACAAAGACGAACTTGATACTGGAGAGGAAAAATTTTATATTCTATCACCAGTTACAAAGGAAACTTAAAGTGGGATCTCTAATTCGAGAATCTGAAGAGTGAAACTAAGAGTGGGATCTCCACTCTGAGAATCGAAAAGATTCAGATAATCCTAACTATCGGAAGGTTTGATTACCAAACTAAAGGTAAATTTCTCGTTTATCGAGAGTGAATTATGGTTTTTATAACCCTAACTGTAGGAAGGTTTGATCACTCGATTTGAAAGTGGGCCTCTCGTTCATGAAAGGAATCAAGAGGAGATTTTAGCTTTGACCCTAACTATAGGAAGGTTTAACTAAATGTGGGATTTGAGCGATCCTAACTGTTTAAAGGTTTGATCGTTCAATTTGTAAACCTCTCGTTCATGGAAAGAATCGAGAGGGAATTTTGGTTGTGGTCCTTACTGTTTAAAGGTTTGACCAAATGGGAGTGAAAGTATAAATCACAGTGGGAGTGTTGACTTGTACGAATCACTCAGTGAGGGTTTTTGATGTCAAATGATGAGATCTTGACACGAAAGGGATTTGACAATCGTAATAGACCATTCGAATTAAAATTTCCAGTGCTATGTCAAGACTTTAATAGCGGGAGTTTAGTGTTTATCACTTTGTTTGTAATGACCGGATTATCCATAAGAATATTACATATAACATTCTTCCGAAAACTTTCCATTATATGAATTATCCACCCCCAGTTTTCTTTGCGAAACTGGGTCCAATGAGGAGCACATTATCCTCAGTCGGATGTTCGGGTTATCCTTAAGAATATAAAATTCTCTAGGAACTTTTCGTCAAAGGTAGGAAACAGTTTAAACTCATATACCTATTGGAGTATACAGGGAGCAGTTTATCCTCATGCACATGTTGAAGGATTGAGAAGCAGTTTATACTCGTATACTCTTTGGAGTCAGGGAAAATAGTTTATACTCGTGTGCCCTGTTGGAGTATTAATTCAGCTTAATTTAGTGTTATGATGCCAGCTTCTACCAAGGTTTGGATGCTATTTTTAAGAGCAAAGTAAGCCTTGGTAGGATGAAGGATCCTCCTGTGGTACGCACGGTACTTTGGATTCGAAATATTATCAGCTTCCTCCTGATCTATGATAGGTGGTTGCTTAATCTTGTTATTTTCAAGGAGGGATTCAAAAATGGTTGGAACGTCTTCGTTCTTGAAAGAGTACTCTTTTTAGAGTTTCGGATCCGAAGTATTTTGCTGTCTCTGGGGTTGCTGCTGTGACGTCTGATTAACATCAATAGCTGCTGCAGATATTTTTCCTTTACTACGAGAGGCAAAGCTTGAGTTCGGATGGTTAAACGTTGTTTGGCCTTTCTCAGCCTTCTTTATTTTAAGGAAACGTTCGACATGTTCTCCACGCAGCTTCAACTCTTTCCAAGTCTTGGATGGCTCGACCCCCAGGGCTTCCAACACGTCAATGGAAATATTATTGTGGCACATCTGCAAGATGAATTCCTCTGTGACAGGATCTTTATAGTTTATTGCCTGGCTGTGGAAGCGTTTGACGAACGTGTCCACTGACTCTCTATCTTTCTGCTTCTTGTCGAAGAGTGTCTTGATTGACACCTTAGTGTTATTGTCAAAGAAATTGCTGAGGAACAGGTTCTCCATATTATCACAGCTATTGATGCTCCCCGATTTGAGACAGCAGTACCAATCAAAAGCAGCTTCACAAAGAGTGCCAATGAATGACCGAACCATCAGGGGTTCATTCCCTAAAATCACGCCCAAGTGGGACTTGAAGTAAATTAGATGTTGAGTGGGCGAGCCCCTCCTATCGAACAGCATGAAGTTGATCATGTTAAACTTAGCTGGATATAGAATTAATTCTCACTCTCTTGGATAGGGACATGGAATACCGATCTTTTTTACCTCCTGAGTAGACATCAGTGTGTTTATTTTACTCTCGAGGTCCTTCATTTTCTCATCCTCACTCGTATCCTTACTTGGTCGATTTCGAGGAGGAACATCATGGCCACCCCCGGTGTTATCATCATTAGTGGGGCTATCCCCAGCATTTTGATTAACAGGAGGATCATCAGCATTGAGGTGTTCATCCACATCTGAATTGCTATATATTTGGTTAACATTGTTGAGATGACTGGATTCACCAATCTGGTTGGACAGAGCTTGAAGTTGTTGGTTATGTTCTTCCTTCATCCGTTGTATAGCCATTTCTATTTTAATTTTGAATGCTTCTTTCTGCTTGGCTAGAGCATCCTCGAGAATTTTGGTCATTTGCTCGGTGTATTTTAATTTTGAATGCTTCTTTCTGCTTGGCTAGAGCATCCTCGAGAATTTTGGTCATTTGCTCGGTGTTGATCATAAACACTTCCCGAGCTTGGCTTGGCTAGAGCATCCTCGAGAATTTTGGTCATTTGCTCGGTGTTGATCATAAACACTTCCCGAGCTTGTCCCACGCTAGAATTTGTGTCATCGGAGGTGATTGTGGAGCAAGTATCTAAAAGTTCGTCCTCTGAAGACAGTCCTTCATGCATCCTTGGGTCAACTCTATGTTTGATGGCTTCTAGCTGGAGCCAAGACATCCGTTAGGCTATTCTTGAATTGACTTTTCTTCCCTAAAAAATATCAGGATTAGTGCCATTTGAAGCAATCGCAGACTTTTCTCTGTCAACCATATTGATAGTGACTTCAAGGAATTCGTTATCTTGACCGGTTGACTTTCTTTTACGGAAACGCCTTGACTTACCCCCTGCCAACCATGGTTTCAATGCTTCAGGGGAAAACCTTTGGAATACGGAGACCCTCTGTGGCGCGGTCTTGGGGCAACTACATTCTAATAATACTACCCGGATAAGTTTGACGCACGGACAATGAAAGTCTGTCCCCAGGTATCTCTCTTTCGAGATCTGTTCGTACCCCCAGCCTGATAGTATAACTCATCGGCGTGATGACCGGAGCAATCTATCTTGTGTTGGCATGACTTCTCAGATACAACGTCATCATCTGACAAACACGTTTCCTTCTGAGGATTTGCTGCCTTGTTGGCATTTACAGGAGTCACACGTTTGGGATCACACCTTTGTGAGGGTGAAACCCTAACGGGCTCCTGGCCTTTTGTACGCACCCCCAAGCAGGTGGTCACGAGAATCAGCTTGTTAGGAGGTCGCGTATGACCCCGAGTCTGGATGGTTGCTCGGGGTTCCTTCACTGGGCCCAAGCGTTCTCTAACGAGAACCTTGCCTCGATCTTCGTGCAAAGGACCTAGGCGGTTTGCCATTGTTTTCCTGCCTTTGGATATGTCCATACTGTCGTGGAGCTTTACCAGAGGTGCAAGATTAGAAGCACTACAACAGAAAAGCTAATCTGCGAGGAACAAGTTTGTCGTTGAAAGTCGAGATTTCCTCGCCGTAGTGTGTTGGCGAGGAAAAAACTTTGGTCACCATTTCCTCGCGGTAGGGTGGTCAAGAAAAGTTTCTGCGAAGAATATTATAATTTCTCGCGAAATCCTTTTTGCGATGAATATATTCTTTTCTCGTTGTTACTCTTTAGCCTCGATATTTTTCCTCACCTAATCTTATACCTTTTTCATCGCTAAACTATAGTTTCCTCGCTAATGATACGTGAATAATATTTAATTTATATATAATAAAAGTAATAAAAAACTATTTTCGTCATTGTAAGTATCTTTTAGCGAGGAAACCGTTCCTCACCAAAGGTAACTCTTTAACGAGGAAATTGATTTTCTTCATTATATGTATCTTTTTCTCGTGGAAACAGTTTCTCAGTAAAGGGACTCGAAGACGAGAAAATTTAAATTTGTCGTTGTAGCTTGTACCCCATATTCCTCGCCAAAGAAATTCAATTACGAGGAAATTTACATTTGTCGATATAGGTTATATGGTCTATAGCGAGGAAAATTACTTTTGCCGTTATAGGTTGTATCACTATAGAGAGAAAATATGTTTTTGTCGACGTAAGCAGTATACTCTATAACGAGGAAATATTCTTTTGACGACGTAAGCAGTATACTTATAATGAGGAAATTTTATTTCATCAATAATAATGCCATTACGAGAAAAATACTCAAAATATAAATAATTGTCATCAATTGTCACCACAGTACATCAAAACAATTAAAATAAATAAAGCAATCAAGTTTCTATCATAAGTAACAATGCTAGTCTAAAGCAATAACAAATACAACACGATCAAAGGAATATTTCTCCAAGTTTAAGTTCACTAAGAATACTAAGCTGATGGATGTTGCCTGGAAAAATTAGCCATAAACTCCTCAAACTTTTTGGTTTGCTCCTCCAATCTTTGTATTACCTCATTTTGTGCATCGATCTTTTGTTGTTGAGTTCCTACAAGTTGTTGGGTCTCTTGAAGCTATTCTTGCAACTCTTTATAGTTGTTGGGTCTCTTGAAGCTATTCTTGCAACTCTTTATTCTTTTCAGACATTTCACTCATCGAAGAACGAGAGAACCTTAATGGTGATGGTTCTTGCAACTCTTTATTCTTTTCAGACATTTCACTCATCGAAGAACGAGAGAACCTTAATGGTGATGGTTTAGGGCCAAAACCACAGCCCTTAATGTAGCCTGATTTGACTTTGAGAACTTATGCACAAATTTCCTCATCTGTCATTATTCGAGTTCCATCAGGTTGAGTGGTATCTGCTCGCATCTTAATCAATTGATCCTATAAGTAAAAAAATATATCCAGTTCAATCATATGTAACTTCTCAATTACAACCTAATCAATATAATCCTCTTTAGAACAGTAATATTAGTTTCACCTATATTCTTAAAATGTTATAAAAGCATGCATCATTGACACGTTACTTACCCATTTTTCCTTTGCTCCCAAGTCCCATCCTTTTTTTATGCTTCTATACTCTGTTTCAAAACGATCAATTGTACCTTGCATATCTCTAGTATGTGCTGCCAATTGCATTTAAACATATTTTCTTTTTCAGCATATATATATGTACACAATTAAGTTACAAATTTATAAGCAAAACTAAAAAGTGTCTTACAATTTGCTCTTGGTGTGACATAAATAATTTTGACCCAGCTTTGTGGTGATATGTCAACTTTGACCTATTAAGAACATTCTTCTCTGAGTGAATCTAAAATTATTAAGACATACAGTTAGAAAGAAGTAAATGAAAAAAGAAAAAATGTAATACGTGGAGAAAAATAAAAAAAGAATATTGTACCTTAAACTTTTCACTAGAAAAATGAGTGCAAAGAAACTCTCATTCTTCCTGAGTCTTAACAGCTTCATGTTTATTTTCAATTGCCTCCTCAATTGTTGAAAACTGCTCAAAATGTTTCTTCAACTTATAACGAAAATTACAATATATGGTCTGACATGTTGTAATTACATATCTCTGGACCCAAGGGAGCGACATGTCAAATTCAAACTTATTCTGCACAGGCATAATTTCATGTCAAACTAAATATAACAAATCAAAGCAACCAATATAATGCCTTTAGCAAAAAAAATCATCACTAACCTGCATTCTTTTGATCAAGTTCTCCACATCTACTTTTTCAATCTTCTTCTATTTTTTTCAAATTCAGTGGGGCGTAGTTTCGAATTGTGTAACCAATTTCATTTGCAACCATCTCAACATAAGGGCCCGTAGGTCTGTCATTTTCTTTAGTCAGAGTCACAAGTATTTTAGAATTCAATTGGGAGAACACCTTATCTGCATTCACTCCTCTTGTCTTCCGTCAGAGTCACAAGTATTTTAGAATTCAATTGGGAGAACACCTTATCTGCATTCACTCCTCTTGTCTTCCCTCGCACCTTTTTGGTTGTACCTTTGACATAATTTTTATTAAGAACATAACACATACGTATATTTAATTCTCAAAATATATGTATATAATGTTTTGTATACCTGGAGGAGGCTCCTGATTAATATCTGACATCACATTATCATATCGTTCTTCATCTATGGTGTTTACTACTGGCTGATCATTAGCACTTTGTTACTGAAGACATGCACTAACTCTAATCTCTGTCATTCGAGTGTTTCTGCAGAAGGCCATGTTGATGGCACAAGTGTGATTTTGCATCCGTAAGATGCTAGGCGCCTTTAGATATTATGTTTGTTACCGAAATCATAGGCAACAACCTACAAGAGAGAAACACAAACGATAATTAATAAATAAACATAAATATTAAGAAGTTTCCACTGGTAAATAATAAAGCATCCTAGACGGAATTTTCCGTCTAGGATAGCTAGATTTCCGTCTAGAATAGTTATCCTAGACGGAATTCCGTCTAGGATATTAGTCTAGTTTGTTGCCGTCGAGAATGCAACATTCTAGACAGAAATTCTATCTAGGATAGTATCCTAGACGGAAATGCATCCTAGACGGAACAAAATACGATCTATAGTATTTCAAGACGGAAAAAAAACCGTCTAGGATAATCCTAGACGGAAATTCCGTCTAGAATAGTATCCTAGACGGTTTTTCCATCTAGGATACATGTAACAGAATTTTTTAGTATCCTAGACGGAAAATTCTGTCTAGGATACTATTCTAGACGGAATTTTTCGTCTAGGATACTTGCTATATTTTATTTATTTATTTATTTTACAGAACCTACTTTCGCACGACATATAATATCACATGCACACAATATAGCACAACACCAAATCATATTCATATCCAATTATAATCATATTCATATCCAATTATATTCAACGCAATCTAATTATATTCCAATATCAAATTCAATTATATTCAAATAATACATTCACCAAAACACTAGAGCGATACATAAATTGTTAACATAGATAATAACTAATTTTTTATTTATATGTTTATTTACAATCGGAACTGCAAGAGTCAAGAACATTCAATGCTTCAGAAATGTACAATCAACTGACCTTCAGAACAATAACAAAAAATTGACCTTCAGAACTTGCGGCGGCAAGAGAAACAAGCATTCCTTTAAGCATTTCTAGAGGTAGAAATCATGGAACTGGATGACCTATATTACAGAGTTAAAAGAAATGTACAATTAATTAACCGCAGACATATCTTTATATCAAGTAGCACACAAATGCAAACAATATGTGGTTGCGCAAAGGAATCTCAAAAGAAAGAACATCATCTATGCTTTTGACAGCTTGAAGCTTATCATGCATCAAATGCCAATTTGGTTCGAGATCCTGAATGTGATAGATAAAGAATATTAAAAGATTCTAATAGAACTGGTGCATATGCTACATAAGAATAACAAGAGAAAAAATGATCACCTCAAAGGTTAAGTAATGCAAAAGGCTATCAATAAATTTTAGCATGCTACGGCAGAGAATGGAAGAGAAGGCAAACCTGTGTATCTTCTAAGGGAACCATTCCCATTCAGCAAATTCGGAACAAGCCTTTTATCCTGGCCTAGAGATAGGATTTCTTGCATTCTTTCAGGCCAATCAGAATTCAGTCTCCGTGCAAAATCTTCCACTTCTCTGTAATAATTTATAAAATGGATGAGGCAAGCTAGATTAAGATGCAATGGGTCATTATACTCACATGTCAGGAGTTTATTTGCATAGCAGCTGTCAAAACGACATAACTGGGATGGAAATCAACTTACTATCCGATGATCATGTACAATATGGCAGTGATAACCAAGAACTGGCAGGCTCAATGATTGAAGATATTAACCCTTCTGATGCGGCAATGAAGGAAAAATTCTTTGAAGAAAAGACCCGTGTTCAATTTGATCAAAAAGCAGAGGCTGAGTTTGATACTAAGGATGACTTTAAAGTCTCCAATATTCTGATTTCCTCTAGCAAGTATTCATAGGTCTGCTCATCCACATCAGCAGGCTCAATTGCAGGATAATAATCATGGGTATCATGATTTTCGTGAGAAGGATTCGAAAGCTCTACTGCATTTTCACTGGGGAAGGGAATCGTATATGTAGAAAAATCCGCATACATAGCTGCATTTGTTTCCTTCTGCAGAGAAATAGTTAACCAAATATAGTCAGAACTTCAGATGTCTCCAAAGAAATTTTAATTAATGCATACATGTTTTGCAAAAAATCTGACCTTTAATTATGAGTTTATGATACTATCTGAATTACAATGTTAATGTAAAATTACAACTTCTAAACAAATCCATAGTTAGTCTGGGCATTCTCAATCAAAAAGAATTCATGAACTAACCTGTGCACTTAGGTCAAATACTGAAGTATTCATAACTGAACTTGGTCTTGTTGGCTGTAATTATCGGTATCATGGCTATTATAAAAAGGATTTGAGCCATCTACTGCATCAACTCTATATACTTCCATCTGCACAGAAATCAACAAAACATAGTCAGAATTTCAAAATTCTCAAAAAGAAATTTTCATTAATTCAGAATTCACGCAAATCATCAACTAACCTGATTAATACCCTGAGTCTGCATCCAGTTCATTTCTGTAACCTGCTCCGAAGTGAGTTGGCTTGAAAAGGGAGCAAAACGTGACATCTGAGGATCCAATGGAACTTCAGTACCTGAATACAAATTTCCTCGTCGATGGTTATTATTAACTGTTGATTGTTCATTAGTATCCTGAAATTGATGTACATATCTTCTCACCACATCTACTAATTGTCCACCATCATCAACTCTTGGAAATTTAGTAGGACGCATAACATCAGTCTCAGTATCAAAAAGAACTGGCGATTTCCTTTTACAATAATTTTGCTTGAAAACTGCCTCATAAATTGGACCACAAACAAAGCAATTTCTGCAACATGATGTGAAATGACCCATCCATTTCTTCACTGTAATGCAACGACAGTCATTTTTGTCGCACTTCGCTATGTGCTGCAAAATACGCGCAATGCGTGCACTACATTGATACATGCATCCTCGAAGTTGCCACTGCAGGTTTGAATGTATCCACTGTTCTAGAAACTTGCATACATTTTGAAGACCATCGATGGTAATGTTTCTTGGATTTTTTTTAGCGGTTTGAATGTATCCATTGTAAAGCAATTTCTACTAAATCCCAATCATGCTACAATCCGAATCGAGATTGGAGACGAGAGATCAGTTACCTGTGGCTCCTTGGGCTTGTCGGGATCAGCCAGCAGGGATCGAGAGGAGGAGGAGGAGGAGGAGGGGCGGGAGGTGAAGCAGATAAAGAGCTCGCTGCCGCCGCCCTCGATCGTTTTCTTCATCTTCTCCATTGTGATCTTATTGGAGGAGAATCAAAAGGTCGATCAGGGTTTTTTTCCTTTTCCTTTCTTTTTTGCTCTTTTTAAGTGGCCGGAGAATGAGATAGAAGGAAGAGGGCAATCATCATTAGTATTTGGGAATGAAATTATATGGGGTTTGAACCGGAGATTGAGAATTTAGGCGGGGAAATGAAATTCGGGAATGAAATTTTTAAGAGGAACGTGCCCTCTTATGGGACCCACCATCCTAGATGAAAATTTCCGTCTAAGATACATTCTTGACAGAAATTTCCGTCTAGGATGTTAGCCCCATTTAAAAATAAAAAATAAAAACACTAAAACCGTCTAAGATGCTATTGTAACGGAAATTTCTGTCTAGAATATTTTTTCCTAGACGAAAATTTTTGTCTAGTTTAATAGCAAACTAGACGGAAAAATTTTTGTCTAGGATGTTCCGTCTAGAATGTAGAATTTTCTACTAGTGTTCTCAAATGACAGACTACTGTTTCTTAGAGAAAATATTAAAGTATGATTACCTGGGTTTTAAACGCAGAAGTTCTAGGGAAAACGATGGACCTAGAGTTGAGGGCAAAGCTTGGTAAGGTTGAAGGGGAAACCCATTCCTTTGATGAGGGTATTAGGATTTTTGAAACGAGACAGGAGAGGCGGCGGGGTCCGATTTGGGGAGGAACAATTAGGGTTTTTTTAGGGTGATCCGACGGAAAATTGCAAGAT